CTTTGGCCCGAGGTGCCCGCCGTCCTCCGGCTGCCTCCTGCGCCTGCTGCGGGAGCGACGGCGGCTGCGGGGACGCAGCTCTCCGTGGGCTGCTCCACCTCCCCGCGACGCCGCGTCGCCCTCGGTTCACGCTCAGGCAGCGAAATAAAGATGCTGGTGGAATAAAGACATCCCCCCTTCTCCCATGCGGCAGCCAGACCCCCAGCACCAAAGCCCACCCAGAAATTAGGGCAGGATCCAGGGGGATGATTTTGGGGAGGGTCGGACATTGGCTCCTGACCCCCGCAGGAGGAAAGAAGGGTTTTTTCCCCAAACCTGAGCGCTGCACGAAGGGGTGCACCGGGGTTTGCAGATCCTGCAGGTTTGCTGGCATTTTTTGCTCCAGAAATCCCATTTTTCCCAATTCTTTTCAAGCCAGCCAGGTCCTCCCTCTTGGGCTGAGCTTTTGGGTTTTAACCTGTTGCTTTTAATGCTGGCTGAGGCCGTGGGATGGCTTCTCTCCAGGGAAAATGAAATGCCATTTCTGAGCAGCACAACCTGGGGAGGATTTTTGGGGTGTGCTGTGGGGTGCCTGGGAGATTTCAGCCCCGCAGTGGAGTCTGAGGCTGTTTGGGATTCTGCTCCTTCAGCTAAAACCCTAATTTCTACTTTTTTTCTTTCTTTTTTTTTTTTTTTTAACCACCTGGGGCTTTTTGTGGGTGCAGCAGGGAGACCCTTGGGCTCGGGGACTCGCAGAGATGCTCTGGCTGCCTTGGGATTAAAAACTGGGGAGGAGAAAGGGGTAAAATAACAGCGTGTGTCCCCGTTTTTAGTTAATGTGGGGAGGAAAACCTGAGTGGGGTGTTGCAGGGAGCGGGAAGCCATTTCCCAGCAGCTTCCCAGCTTTTCTATGGTTCGAGTGAAGCAACTGCAACCTTAAAATAGCTGCTTCACCAGCGAGCAGTGCCGGCCCCGCTTCTCTCGCTGCCGCGGCCTCGGCAGCCTCGTAGGGTTTTGCAGCCAAAATAATAAAAAATGCAGGAGTTAGTGTGGTTTGCTGGTTTGCTCCCAGCGCCTGGATGGTTTTGGGGAGTTGGCAATCCGTGAATTAGTGCAAATGAGGAAGGTTTCTATCCATGCCAGCCTCTATCTCTCGTTATTTTTGTTGTCACCCTCACCGACAGAGGTAAGGACTCTTTGTTTGATTGTACAGGGTTCATATCAACAGGGCGGGTTTAAACTCTCCCCAAAAGCTCGTTTATTTATACATCCCACATTATTTAGGAGAGGGGTCCCCCCTGCTCTGGTCTGCTCCCGCAATGCCTCCCACCAGCTGCCCCTGGGCTGGTTTTCTTTTTCTTTCCCAGTTTGTTTTTTTTTTTGGGGGGGGGGCACTGCATAACAGGGTGGGGGGCACAGCAGCATCTGCAGCTCATTTTAGATGGGGAAACAACTGGGATTTGCACTTCAAAAGCCAAAAAAAAAGGGCTCTGAGCTGATTCAGTGCTGCTGATCCCTCCTCTAGCTGCTTATTGCCTTGCCTGACTGCCCTTACAAGTAGCTAACAGTCATCATTAGGTTCCAGGGTGAACAAGCACCTGCACAGCACGAGGAAGGTGGGTTTCCTGGTTATCCCCTGGGATAATACTAATCTCAGCATCCTGGCTGTGGTTTTGGGATGCCTGTGGTCCTCTCACTGCCCAGTGCTCCCTTCTCAGCTCCTGGAGTTTATACCACATCAGAAGCTGCTGCCAATTTGGGTGCTGCGTCCCAGCCTGTCGTGGCTTGCGGGCAGCGACCCAGTGCCAAGATTTGCTGGCAAAACCAGTGGGTAAGGTCAAAATCCCTCCCAAATGCAGCAAATGGGACAAAAATCCCAGTGATAAATGAACAGGAGCTGTGACGTCCATCCTTGCAGCTGGAAAATGGGGCATTAAGCTTCTCCAGCAAGGGGAAAAAAATGAGATATCTTTAATTAAAGAGCAATTTGCTCATCAGCCTGGCATCCCAAGAGCCCTTTACCCCGCGTGGGCTGATTGCCACGGAAGCACCAGCCGAAATGAATTTGGGCTGGAGCAGCATGAGGGCATCCCGAAATGGGCTTTTATTGCCTCTGTCTTCAGCCAGCTTTCCCTGCTGCCTGGCAGCCTGTAGGTAAAAGACTTGGGAAAATGTGCTATATATATAATTTTTTTTTCTGTTTTCAATCAAATTAATTTATTTCTTTTGATCTCACTGATCCAGGAGCTGCTGTTCCCCCTCCGCACACTTCCCCCAGCAGTGATTTAATGACATTTTCCCGTGGAGCTGCACGACCAGTTTTCAACTGAGAAGGAAAAAAAAAAAAAACCACCACCGAGGCGGCAGCGGAAAAATGGTCTGTCGGGACAGAGAAAGGAAGAGGTAAAAAAAAAGAAGGAGAAATCGGAAGACATGAAGATAGCAGGCAGGGAGGGGACACGGGACCCCTTGAGCCCAATCCTTTGGGAGTCAGGGCTGTCCCCAGGGATGCTTCCTGGGGTTCGGCTTCACGCCGGGGCGTTATCCCGGCAGGGCCGGCCAGCCTATTTTCCAGGCGAGGAAATATTTAACCGCAGCGTCAGCGGGCAGGGCAGGCGGGTGCAGGCATGGAGGGTGGCGGGCAGCACCCGTCCCCCGCTGTCCCCCCGGGCCAGCCCCAGGGTGAGCGCTTGCAGCTCCTGTTGCGCCGCAGCCGGGAGGCCAAAAACTGCGCCTATTGCCCCTACAGCCGCTTCCCGGTGGGTGCCGCGCTGCTGACGGCCAGCGGGGAGATCTTCTCCGGTAAGTCAGGGCAGTACGACACCCCCCACTTTGGGTTTTGGGGTCCCCCACGCAACCCTGTGGCCGTGCACAGGGGTGCACCGGGGTTGGCACGGTTGCTGGTCCCCCCCACCCCGGCTGCAGCGAGCCAAAGATCGCGCAGGATGGGAAAATACGGGAAATAAATAGAGGAAGCGGGGAATGCGTTGGCGAGAGCCTGGGATTGGGCGGTGCACGCAGAATATGGCTTTTCTTTGCAAATTCCCTCCTCCCCCCAAAAAAATCGCCCCGAGGGAAGGCGGTGGGGTTTAAGGTGGCTGAGCGGGTGCCGGCGGCTTCCCCGCAGGGTGCAACGTGGAGAACGCCTGCTACAGCCTGGGGATGTGCGCCGAGCGTACCGCCATCCAGAAAGCCATCTCCGAGGGGCACACCAACTTCAAGGCCATGGCCATCGCCAGGTAAGGGCACGCCGAGAGCCGGCACGGTGAGGGACGGGATGGGGGCCAGCGGGAAAAACCTC